TAGAGGCAAGTAATTATCCAAAGTCAATTTGGATGTTTGGTTAAGCTGGATTTGTACTGAAGTCTGTATGATTCCAAATCCCCTTAACCTCTCTAGCTTCAGTGATGAAATAGACTTGAGTAATGACTACTGTTAGCCAGTGGGTGAGATATTCCAGCAGGAACAATGATGTTTCTAAGCAGGGCAAAGAAATTAGAACAGATAAATGAAAGAGCAGCTTCCTAGACATAAGGGAACCACAGGGCATGGTAGAAGTAGCAGGACCCCAAGAGTTGTCATGCTCTGGATGCATCCTCAAAAGACCATTAATGTCTTTTAAAGAGATATCAAAATTAAAAAGCTAGGACTTTTTAAAAGGCTAATTTAGATTCTTCCTTTACAGCCCAGTGCTAAGAAATGCTTGGAGATCCCTTCTAGCTGTATGTGACTTGACTTGGCCCTTCTCACAAAGGCTTCCTAATCAGACATCACTTAAGGTGCCTAGCTTCAGTATTGTGCAGCTCTCCTTCCATATGAATATCCTGGCAAATATTTATTAAGAAGCAGATGCAGGGTGAGTAGTGAGAGTAGTTAAGGATCTGGCACCATGACAGTCATGCATTTCCCATTTGAGTAACTGTCCTCCTTCAAGCAGCTAACAATTTCTAAGACTCAGGTTCTTGAGTCAAATCCAGTTAACATATGTGCCAAGGCACTGCAAGTCACTGAAGTAGCAGAGAGCTAGGGCCTCAGAAGCCACTTTGTTTGCAAATACTAGGCCACCTTGCTAAATTCTACTTGTATCTAACTGTAAAAAGGATTTATTATTTCATGCTACTGATAAACAAGGAGCTGAAGTGGCTTCAAGCACAGTTAGATCCAGGTACTCCAAAAATATGTGTAATTTATCTTTTTCCATCAGGTCTGTTGTCCTTAATATTGGTTTATTCTCAGGTGGGTTCTTCAAGTGTTGGCACATATGATTAAGAGCCCAGGCTTACATCTTTCAGTTCACTTACCCCAAAGAAGTGAGAATAGCGTGATTTATGAAATACTCCTTTCTCTACAAATGCAGCAGAATTCCCAGCACTGGGTTAATGATACAGCTTGAGTCACATGCTTACTCCCGAACCAAGCACAATGGCCAGAGAATGTCATGCTCGATCAGCCAGTTCTGGGTTACAAGCCTACGCACAGCTAGAAGGTGGGCCCAGCTGCACCCAAGCCACATGGTAAGACAGTGAGAAAGGGATAGTTCTCCAGGAGAAATTGGGTTGCTGTGACTAAAGGAAAGAACAATGGTTACTGGGCAGTTGTCATTATAATGTTGAAGTCACTATTGTTATGACAAGTAGAGAAAGAGCAAAAGGAATAGGAGGAAGGGTATTGTCTACCCCATGACAAAGCAGAAATGACTTCTAGATTTCATCTTTTCTATGATCAGCCTGAACTTCAGAACATCTTCTCTAGTCCTGTCTCTCACAACTTCCCTGCTACACCCTGAGCTCTAGACTTGCCAAACAAGCTGGGCTCTATCAAGCTTCCAGGCCTTTGCGCAGGCTGCTCCTCTCTCTGGAATGTAGACCCACCCACCCACCCCTATATCCACCTGGTCAATTCGTACTTTCACATCCTCAAACATACTTCCCAGCTGAATATCAGACGTTTTCTTCTGTCTGCCCCCATAGTCTTTCTTTCTTTTCTTTCTTCCTCCCTCCCTCCCTCCCTCCCTCCCTCCCTCCTCCTTTCCTCCCTCCATCCTCTTCCTTCCTTCCTTCCTTCCTTCCTTCCTTCCTTCCTTCCTTCCTTCCTTCTTCCTTTTCTCCTTCTCCTTCTTCTTTTTGATTGACCATTTATTTTTGTGGGTTTGCTTTGGTTGGGAGCACCAACACATCCTGGGCCACCTTGACAAGTTCTAATAGCAGGCTGGACAAACTGTTTCCTGATTGCTGTCTGTGAGGGGGCAAGGGAAACCCAGTCCCTTCCTTGCAGCTGATGTGTTCTAGACCCTACACAGGACATGCATACATGTGTGAATTAATATCAATCCTTAGCAAAGTCACATAACTAGGTGTGTGACCTCATTTTCTGCTCAGTTTTCTCAGAGGGCTAACTCTATCATCCTCACAGACCATTAATGTCTTTTAAAGAGATATCAAAATTAAAAAGCTACAACTTTTTAAAAGACTAATATAGATTCTTCCCTTACTGCTGAGGCTCAGTGCTAAGTAACCCTTGGAGGTCCCTTCTAGCTGTGCATGAGGTGACTTTGCCCTCCTCACAAAGGCTTCCTAATCAGATATCACAATTTGGGAGACCATTAGGACAGGCTTTAAAACATGGCAGAATACTCCTGGTCCCAGGCCTGTGAGATGACAGTCAATACCAACTTTTAGGTAAACAAGGTTATTCCACACAAGAGACCCCAGGGAATCCTTCTCGGGATCAATAATTTTGCCATTATTTTTCATAATGTGGCATATTTAGGGCAGAACTAGTCAGACACTTTCTAATGGCACTTCCCAAGAGGCCACTGACAGACTCGCAAACCCAACCTCTCCACTAGGCAGAACTTAAGCTGTTTGGAAGTTATAAGAACTGTGACAGTGAGCTTGCCAAGCTTCCAGAATGCAGCAAGTCCTGCTCAGCCAGCCTGTCAAAGAGTGAGGTAATTTATAAGCCGGAATATGAGGGAACCAAAAGTGAAAAAGGAAGGGAAAGGCTCTGAGGAGAACAGCTAAGAATAGTTTTCCTTCTTTGCCATTCCATGATGCTCTGGGGCAGAGCTTAGCTAATAGGCTGTGGCCTCAGCCCATTCTGTAGTTATGGCAGACATTAATATCCAATAATACCTAATCAGGGCATTCTTTCTTTTAGGACCTGAGGCTTATCATCCTTCTCATTGTAGCCAAATACTTAAGAAGGCAGGTGAGATGGAACTATTTGCTAAGGTTTGAAAGTCCCTCCAAAACTCATGTTGTTGTTGATTTGTGTTGAGTCCCCAGTATTGAGAGATGAGGCCTTTAAGAGACAATTGTATTATAAAGACTCTGTCCTCATGAATGGGTTAATCCATTCATGGATTAATAGATTAATGGGTTATCATGGGAGGGGGCCTGGTGGCATGATAAGAAGAAGATAGAGACCTGAGATAGCATGTGAACGTCCTCAGCCCCTTGCCATGTGATGCCCTGAGCCACCTGGGTACTCTGTAGAGAGTCCCCACCAACGAGGATGCTCTCACCAGACGCACACCGTCAACCTTCTCAACCTCCATAACTATAAGAAATACATTTTGTTTCTTATCAATTATCTAGTTTCAAGTGTTCTGTTGTAAGCAACAGAAAACAAACTAATACATCATTCTTCTCTTAGAAAGTTTTTCTATGGCTCTCCATTGTGTTCTAGTATCATTGTTTCCTGCTCTAGCCAAATCTCACAGATTCTCTATTATTTCTCTTTTCTAAATTCTATTTGAGACTCTTCACCATTCCACACAATTTTGCATTTATTTGCCTTATATTTATCCTAAGGCTTTGCAGTAAGATTGTACGGATCTTAATGTGCTCTTTTGTGTCCATAGCTTTCACAGTGCCAGACAGAGTAAATACACATCAAGAACTTACTGATTGGTTTGGGACAAATAATTTAGCTGCTGAGTATGCGGGGAGGAGCTAATGTTATTTAGCAATATCTGTGTGCCCGGTGGTATGCTAAGTGCCTTACATACACTATCTAATTTAATACTCACTGCAGAACTTTGAGTAAGCATTATCATCCCCATTTTTTACAGGCTAAGAAATCAAAGTTCAGAGAACTTACAAAACTGGTTAGTGTGATATACCCCAGAAGAAATACTAGATTTAAAGAATGCCATTACTTAGAGAAGTCCCTCAGAAGAAATTTGGGTATATAAGACAACACCATGTTTTGGGAAATAAAATTCAGTTAGTTTGTTTAATTAAGTTCCATATCCTGATAATGGAAGGGAAGAGATAGTTTAAATTAGAATTGCCACAGAGAATCCATGATATGTGGCAAATGCAATAGCAAAGAAATTAAAGGCCCTGCTCTTATAAGATATATATTTCTAAATTTCCATTTGTTGTTCTTACCGTCCAAAAGGCTTTTACCATTGATGGCTAACATTGTGCATTTTCATAAGTTTATTTTTTTTTCAACAAAGATGAATAACGCACAGTTTTCAGTCTCAAAGAGCTCAAGATCGACTGAATGGGATAGACCAAAACATAAACATAATTATATTACATAAGAGAGATGAAGGATAAATATAGAGAGAGGATATTCAGGGACTTCAGAGAAGGAAAACCTAGCCCAGTCTAGGAGATCTGGAAATCTTCTTGGAAGAGTTGAAACTGTGTTTGTCTTACTTTCTACTGTTTCACAAACTTAGCATAATTCCCCATTCTTTACATGAGCATGGCAAGCATTTGTGGGACAATCAAGGTATGCATAAATGATTGAACTCTCAGCATTAAAGTTGGTGAAGAATGATTCAGACAAGGAAGGGGGAGTTTGGAAAAAGGGGCTAAGGAGATGGAGGGTAAAGAATATTATTCCAGGTGGAGGACCCTGCAGAAACAAAGCCACACAGGCAAGAAACCAGATAACTTGGGTAGACATTATAATTTCTCTTACATTACTGAAGCATAAAATATATAGATAAGACTGAAAGAGAATGGAGCTAGAGAAATAAGTCTGGGTCATATTCAGGGGTAACACTGGAAACAGTTGACAATTAAAACAGTGTGGGTGTCAAGTTTCAGAGCAAGCGCTGGTCCAGAAGACACTCTATGGTGGCAGACGCTTGATGACGGGACAAAGTCTGGGAAGGTTGGTGGTGGAACTGGGTTTGACGGAATGGGATCTTGAGCTTGAGAGGGGGAGTTGGACAGGAGCCTAGACTGTTCATCTACAGTAACCAGAGAGAAGGCAGAATACATACGCCAATAGGGAGACATGTTCTAGAACTCACGGAAACTCTTTTCTAGTTGCTTCTCTTTCTATGGTGAAATATGTAGCCAGGTCTCCAGCTGGGAGTGAGGATGGAGGAGTAGAAGCTGGAGGTCTGTTGCAGCATGAGTAGGTATGGAACAGTCAGGTAGGAGAAAGGGAGAGTGAATCAAGTAGGGCCTGCGGCAGGTGGGCAGGGCAGGACTAAGATCCGCTTGAAGTTAATATTCATGAGACTAAACTGAAATCAGTCACTATTATTCTGTGTTTTTGCCTAGTGCTGGTGTGCAATAGGTAGAGTATTGGACTTAAATAAAATTATGTTTTTTTCCAAGTGAGTATGAAGTGGAAGTTAAGCCTAACACTAGCCTAGCATTACCTCTAGGGTTTGAGTTACCTAGTAGTCTAAAAGGGTACTGAATGGAGGATTTCTCATCCTATCTTGTGAATCAATTTCATATACACATTCCTGCTCCCCTTCACAACTAAATTTCTCGAAAATATCGTCTACACCAGGGGTCCTCAAACTTTTTAAACAGGGGGCCAGTTCACTGTCCCTCAGATCGTTGGAGGGCCGTTGGTGAGTGTGGTGCACATTCCACACATGCGCGCTGTGGGCCCGGGACCAGTCGGCTGCTAAGCAGGACAGGCAGCCGTGGCAAAAACACCCAGCGGGCCAGATAAATGTCCTTGGCGGGCCACATGTGGCCCACAGGCCATAGTTTGAGAACACCTGGTCTGCACCAACTGGCTTCATTTTCTCATTTCCTATTGAGTTTTCACTCTATCTCTCTCAATGTTCCATCTAGTCTTCTTTGTGAATTCCTTTCACTTGCTTTTCTCTCCCTCACTTCCTACCCTTCACATCAGCCCTGAGCTATCTCATCCAGCTCCACCTGGTGGCATCCCCATGGTTTTCATTGCCATATGCTTGCAGAGGCTTCCAAATCCATGTCTCCAGTTCATCTCTCTCTCCTAGGCTCCAACCAACCTCTTCCACTCCTTACTGGATCTAACCACTCAGACGTTCTTCCCATACCACAAGCTCAAATGTCCTAAATTATTTATTATCTTTCACTCCAATATGTTCCTCTTGGAGTATTCTCTATATCATTGGTTCCAATATCTACTAGACTGTTCTAGTTAAAGCCCAGGAATTCACTCAACCTTCTCCCTTTCCTCATCACATGTATCCCATTAATTAATCATCTAAGCAACCATTAATTCTTGCCTTCTTTATTTTTTTATGAATATCCCAAATTATTGGCAATGACCGTGTAATCAGAAAAATATCTTAAATAATAAAAATACATATTTCATAATGTCAAGTAGGACCTGGTGCTCATATCACCTCCACACTCTTGGGAAATTTACCACAGACATTTGGTAAAATTGCATTTCAACAGCCTGACAGCTTTTGGCTTCTGCAAAAAGAGACTGGGGGCAGAGCCATGAATATTTAATCTGTTTCTCATTGAATTACCCAAAAAAAGCAGGAATGGAAACTCCACCCACTGGCCAGCACTAGTTGCACAACTCAACGTTCTCACATTTTATGGGTGGGGTCACGAGGAAAATTCAAAGCAAAGCTGTGAGTCCTTTATGTGACTGTGTCAGAGTCTCCTTTGGGCTTATGTGGTGAGAGCTTACCTTCCCATTTAGAGCTGCTGTGCTTCATGACTTCCAGAAGCAAAGCAAGCAGAGCTGAGTTCTTGGAAAATGCTGGGTAGCTGAGGCATATCAAAGGGAATTTGGAATTGTTTATGTGGTTTGAAAATTCTTGGGGGCAAAACTGCCTTCCTGTTGCTTTTGGAAACTATAGTCCAGAATTGGAAAGGAGGTAAACAACAGGAACTCCCTCTCCATTTGGTTTGCTTCCCATTTGTACTTAGCTAATTATTTTATGCTAACAAGAGAGCATGTTTCTCCACAGTTCCTTTTTTTTTTCTTTTTTTCTTTTTTGAGGCTTACAGCAACCATGGGACACTTGGAAGATAAAAGCCAAATCAGCTCACTTTCAGTTTAGACACAAATGGAGCCAGATGCCTTCTACCATGCAAACCAATGAAAGAACTTTCTCATCAGCTTCCTTCCACTCTCATGGGTGGGTTTCAGCTGGTATGTGACCAGCCATTATCCAAGGCTAACAGTACTGAAAATTGCAAGTAGTGGTTGGTGGTCATGAATTTAAAGTGGCATCAGTAGTTGGGTCCAGTGTCCCCACTACAAAACCCCCAATATGTATCAGCAACAACATGTGGACACATCTCTTCCTTCCTTTTGACCTCAGTAGGCTCTTGGGTTGTAACTTCTTCCATTCGTCTAAATCTGCTACTTCTGTCTGCTTTCTTTATTCCAAGAATTTGCTCATTTGCTGTGGTTTCTTCTCCTATTCTTTTTGTCCTTGTGAATTAATACCCCTTTCCATTTCTTTACTATCATTGTAGCAGGACTTGCGGAAGGAGAGGAGATAAACCAGTGGCGTCAATCGATAATTTTTAACCAGAACCCTTAATTATTGTTGTGTTTATGTTTTTGCCACTAAACTTTTCATTCTTTCAGGGTAGGACTAGGTTGATTAATTTCTGTCCCAAACAACTCGCACAGTGCCTGGCATTTTTCAGTAATTCTTACTGAAAAAAATAAAAAGATGGAATGAATCTCTCCAAGAGTCCTGTTGCTGAGCTAATGCCCAGAACAGAATCTAAGCTGTATATAAAACTTGAGACAGATAATGATAACAGAGCAGATAATGAAGTCAGGAATTGGGTCAAATATGCTTTGTGACCTCCAAAATGCATTTTCCTAAATTGTGTTTTCAGATATTTGATGCTTGTCTTTAAGTGATATGCATTCAGGTTTCAAGAAAAGTTTCACACTGCCCAAGGGTGGGGACATGTTTCCGTGCAAAATGCATTGGCCCCTGACTGCCCTTCTGTGCCACCACTACCAAATCCCTCCCATAGTTGCATCTTCTCTCAGTTCTTCTCTGAGGGTGGAGAATGCCTGCCAGTCTGAACTCCTGGCTCAGGCAGTTGAGTGGGAGAAGAGGTGGGTGGTTCAGTAATTTATTTTTGCATGCCTGATTTAAACCATTCCCTTTTCACCAAATGGGAGCTTTCAGCTATTAGAGAAGACGTGCAGCCCCTTTTGTCTCTGTACCTTTCAAGCTACAACGATGCCTTTCACCAGATTAAAAGATTAAGGCTCCTTCCAGAATTCTAAACCAGCTGGTTCTGAGAATTTTAAACGTGCCTGAAAAAAAGCATCTGTTCTTTCCATGTTACTTCTATCCTCCCTTTATGCTAAACACCTATTCATTTATGTCTGCTAAGGCCGATATGTGGAGGATCTATATTTTGAAATCTCGAAGAAGAACCTTATTCTGTGAATTTTTATTTTCCTTGTTTTGCTGGGTCCATAAAGACTATAAAATAAGGCTTTCAATCCCTGTGTGTGTTTCACAGCCTGCCAGCCTGATGTGCTCAATGTTGACTGCAGCTATCTTTCTCAGGGTGGAACATGGCACTCACACAAGACCTGGGCTTATATATTTTGAGAAACTTAAAGCCTTGAGAGGCTTTTCTGAATTGGTGTTTTCAAACTCCTAATGCCCCAATTAAAGAGGTTTGCAGTTTTCTCTGAGTTTCACAGCTCAGCTTGGTATAATCTGGATTGGGACAGTTCCAGGAGAGGAGGTCAAAAAAAGTGCAGATTCATACATAATGCATATAGGACTTTAATAAGCATCCTTTCATACTATAGCTTCTCTGCATAGCTTCCCATAAAACTTCACAAGCCACAGGCACTGTGACTATTATTTTTTAAAAGAGCAACAGAAGGAAATGTTCAACCCTGGGCAATCTAAGTTACATCAGGAATTAAAATGTCTTTATACAGCTGCCTCACAACAACAACAACAAAATCTCTATTCTGTGGCAGTAATCACCAACAAAACTTGATAAACTCAAGAAATATATCAATTTATATCAAGATTGAGAAATTCCAACACTCACTTCTTATTTATAAAATAAAGACAGATTAATACCCAGTGGAAAAGGGGTTAGAGCAACTATCTACTAACCCTAAGGATGGAATAGGCAAGAAGATAAAATTTAGAGAAAATAGACTATGAAAAGAAGTTTTTAGTTGATTGTGTTCAATATTTATTTCATAGGAATAAGGCATATTGGGTTTTATTGGGACCTTAATGAATGCATAAGATATTCTCTGTGAAAATCTCTGCATAGTGGTATGGCACATATTCCTGTTTATCCCCAAATCATCCCCATCCATTCTTTCAAGAACCCTTGGGAATATATCTCTCAGCATCATGTAAAGTCACATTGAAACTAGATAGGAAGAACTTCACTTCACCTAGAGCTTATGAACATAGATCTGGGGACAGTAGTGGATGAGATTCCGAGCTGTCCCCCTTTAGGTAGCAAATGTATGCATTTCATATAGATACAGTTATCTAGTTACTGGATAACCTCCAGGGAAAGGGAACTCAAAGTAGTGCACACCATTCATGGTAAGATCTGACTATTAGGAAATATTTCCTTTATAAGAAGCTGAGTATTAATCCTGCACCTTTTAGTTACAAGTTACAGCTTCTCAACTCAAATTCTCTTTATTTTTAAGAATGGAGTAATTGAAAAGTCCACCAGAGTTGTTTAGGATAGCTTAATCTAGCAGTTCCAAGGACCTGGGGAGTCTAATTGACCTGCTATGTGTCTCACATACACCTGTGGACCAATCACTGTAGCTGTGAGCATAGAGAATTTTGGCCATCAGTTGTAAATCCAACTCTCATTCCTAGGGACAGAGCAGGTTGGGGGAAAGGAATCAGCTCTCCTTGAACCACAAGAGTGGAACAGAATTACTATGACATAAGGGTAGGGTAATTATTCAAAAGACGGATATAGGATCTTGCTGAATAGTGGAAAATGTTTCACTAACCCTATATATCCCATCAACCCACATAAGAAGGAAGAGGAAATAGAATATTCGTAATTCAAACTCCCAGTTGGAAAAAGGGAGAAGTTAAGGCAATATGCAGGAGTCCATATCATATCCCACTTGGGTGGACAGAATTAGTGAGGAATCCCACCTGCAGCGGAGATTCTGGACAGCCACTCTGGCTGATTCCTAGTTCTGCTCCTTCCTTGTCATCTATGGCCACGTCAGAGAAGACTGCTGTATGATTCCTCTTTGGGGAACCACCCTAACAGATCTAACCGTTCACGTGCTATTGGTGCAGATTTGGAGCTTCAGGGGATTTTTACAGTTGAGAAGTTACAGGCTTAGTTAGGGTCTTTCTGGTAGTACAACTCCTTTAAAAAACCCAATCAACTGACCAATTTGCCAGTAGACAGACCCAGAGATCTTATTATATCATGTGCTTTGAAAATACAGCCTGTCCTTTGCATTTCTGTGTCTTAGGAATTGATCCTGTTGTTTATCAACCTTCTAGTTCTTAAAGAAGTTTCCATTTGGCTCTGCCTCAGAGCAACTCGAAACAACAGGCCAGACAAGGGAAGGCACAGATAATTTGAGTAAAATATACAGCAGGAGCTGTTTGTGTATTTCTCTGGATCCCCTTGGGTCCCAATCTTATCTCCTGTTATTTTCCCCACCTCACTGCCTCACTCCTATCAATATTTGTTTGCGGTAAAGAATTCAAATGTTCAGTCTTGCAAATGGCACGATTATATGACTCTCAGCTACTTTGGATTTCTGGGCACGAGCAGAAAGATCCTCTTTTAGCAACACAATGTCCCAGGGAGGACTTTGGTGGGCACAGGGTTGCATATCCATCACTGAACCTATCACCGCGGCAGATGGAATATTCTGATTGGTCAGACTGCTGTTCCCACTCCTGGGGAGCAGCAAGGAGGAAGCAGAAATCATTTTCACCAATAGCACAGGGACAGTGCCTCTTGTATGCACCTCCCACCCTACCTGTTTACTCTAGCTTTCTGTAGCACCCAAGTGTAAAATGACCACACTTTGCCTCAGTTGCATTATATACCTCTGGCTTTCTTTTCCAAGACTTCTCTTTTTTGTCTACCTGGTGGGATGCCTGAGCGATCTGCTGATATGGTTTGAATGTTTGGCCCCTCCAAAGCTCCTGTTGAAATTTGATCCCCAGTGCTGGAGGCAGGGCCAACTGGGAGGTGTTCTGGTCATGGGGGCGGATCCCTCATGATGGCTTGGTGCCCTCCCTGCAATAATGAGTGAGTTCTCACTTCATTCGTTTACACAAGGAGCCTGGCACCCCCCCCCCCCCCCCCCCCTCTCTCTCTCTCTCTGTCCCTCGCTTGCTCCTTCTCCCACCAGGTGACACGCTTGGTGCCCCTTCACCTTCTGCCTTGAGTGGAAGCTCCCTGAAGCCCTCACCTGAAGCAGATGCTGGGGCCATGCTTCTTGTACAGCCTGCAGAACTGCGAGCCAAATAACGCTCTTTTCTTTATAAATTACCCAGTGTCAGGTTTTCCTTTATAACAGTGCAAAATAGACTAACACACCTGCTCAGCTAGTCTGATTCATGTGCAAACTGGGCATGAGAGAGACTTAACATTCATGGGCACCCCTGGCCCAGGGGGTGGGGTGGGGGGAGGGGGACCAGCCAGTGGGTCAGCGGATAAACTTGCTTTCTTCCTTTCCATTGATGGACAATTTCAAGGCACAGTCTATACAGCTTCTCTCAGGGTTCCTAGCAGGATGGAGGCTTTTTCATGATGGTTTCATGAGGCTTTTTTCCTTCCTGTTTTACTTTTCAGAGGCCCTCACTCTTGTTCTTTGAGATTGCTTCTCAAAATAAGTTATCTGTATACGAACCTTGTTTAAGACTCTGCTTTTGGAAGGCTGTGGACTGAAGGTGAGTATTATGGACTGAGACCCAAAGGAAGAGTGTGTCTGAAGGAATCACGGTGCATGCGCCTTACTCCCATCAGGCGTGGTTGAAGTGCGTTACATGTTTTGACTCATTCAGTCATCCCAAGTCAATGAAATAAGTGCTATTGTACCTATGTGGTATGGAGAAGATAAATAACTTGCCCATGGCCATGTAGCCATGAAGCAGAGGAGGTAGGATTCGAACCCAGGCAGTGGGCTCCACAGCCTGCACCTCTCACCACCACACTATCCCGCTTCTTAGACTCATCATGTGGTCTAGCTCCTCTTTAGATATATTGGTTAACTCCTCTTTAGATATATTGATATATTGTTTTAGAAATATTTGAAAAGAACATAAAATAAATTAAAAATTTTTAAATTAAAAAAAAAGAAATATTTGAAGACATCTTTCAGGTTTGTCATGACTGCTCTTCTCCAGGTTAAACTAAGCATAGGTCCCTACAAATATGTATTAATTATGTACTATGTGCCGATCAATATGACAGGCACTGGGGACACAGTAATGAAGAAAACAGACCCTTTGGCCTCCAGAGACTCAAAGACAAGGAAGGGCAGGAACAAGCGGGAGGGAAGCAAGGGAACACAGGATGCCGAAGCTGTGTGACAGCCATTAAGACTAGGGCCTACACAGCCATTATGATTAGGGCCTAGTATAAACACCTGGGAGGTGCAACTACCCCAGACCAGCTGAGGTAGGAATGTCACCAGCCCTAGTGACTGACCGAGCACTGTGGGTGAATGAAAAAAGGGAGTCAAAGATGTCGTCATGTATGGGGCAGGGACACCCGGGTGTTGGTGGTATCTTTACTGAGAGAGAGAGAAAGAGAGGGAGCGTACTGCAGAATGAGGACTGGGAAGAAAGGTGGTTTGGTGTGAAATAAAGTAAAGCTGCTCAGAGACCTGATCTACATCCCCTAAACTGCTCATCCTGTAAGCAAGTTTGTTTTTAATGTGCACGTTTGGGAGAACTGCAAGTGTAGGATCCTAGATTTTTTTTTTCACAATAATTGTAAACCCTGCAATTGTAGCCATGGTGACCCTAATTCTAGCAACAAATGTATGTACTATTCTACTGAGCTTCACATCTTTGACAATGTCAGCATCTCTTTTAACCACTTCCGCTCGGCGCTCACCGGCCGGGAAGCCTTGCCCACAGCCGGCACTCACAGTCCCAACGATAGTCTGTGCTGTGCATTGACCACGAGTCCGTGTTGCTCTTGTGTGATGAGGAAAGCTTGAAAGCACTGAAAGCTTGTTTTACTTTACAGGCAGCTTTACTTGTAATGCAAATCAGAATAGGTAACATATACATATATGTTTTCATTACATTATTTTTAAATGTTCACAATTTTATTTTGATAAATGAAAAATTAGAAAAGTCATATCACGGCTGTCGCCTAAAGTTGACGCTGGGCTGTTCACCTTCATATCACGGCTGTCGGGTAAAGTCGCTGTGCACGTTCATCTGTGGCTGTCGACTATAGTCGACGCTCGTATCGAAGTGGTTAATGAACATTGTACCACTCCACAGATTTTGTGGGTGGGTTTTTTGTTTGTTTCTGGTTTTTGCCAGCCACATCACAATTATGACTTCTATTGAGCTGGTAGTCAAGCAAAATTTTTTATTTCTTTTCATAATTTTTTTCATTTTTTTTAACTTAAATATAGAAGTATATTATACAATATACTATATGAATATATAATATATACATTTAGGATACATAATATACTTTATAAGATATATGAAATTTCGTGAAGTTGAGTTCATTGTTTTAACTTGTCCTGATTTTTTTGATCTGGATACTGTTCCTAAACATTTTAGCTTTCCCTCCAATTTCAAGGCACTGATACAAGGCTACAGTTTTAATAATTATGAGTGTAACCAATGTTTCAAAAATGTAGAGGCACATGCTGTCCTAAGTTCAAAAAGGAGTAGAAAGATCTCAAGAGATGTAGGCCAGTGAGATTGCTATTAATTCCTGGAAAAATTCAAAAATAAATTATTAAATAGATGTTTTGATAGCATGAGCAAAGAAAGTGCTGATTGCTTGAAAACAGCATAAGTCTACTAAGAAAAAATATGCCAAACTAATCTAATTTCTTCTCTTCCTGCTGCTGCTAGACTAAGAGCAGAAAGGACTGCTGTAGACATATGCTATGTGAATTTCGGGGAATTTAACAAATTCAGCCATTGCAGAAGAGATGGGGAAGAATGGACTAAATTATAGCAGAGTGGGGCATCCCAACTACGAGTATGTGATGTAGTTCTTGTCAAATGATGTTATAAGTTCCCTTTCCTGCTCAAACACAGCAAAGAAAGATAAAATACAGAATGAAAGTTAAAAAGACATGGCCTTGCTCAAGAACAAAATAACTTCTTTGTCCAGCAAAGAAAGAACAGAAGCATATGATCCCAAATGGAATACAAAGGCTATAATTCCAAATACAGGCAGAGACAGCTGGAGGTTTGAGTCCTACAGGGTAAAAAGAGGCACCAAATAGTCCATGCATGCATGTGGGGTGTGGGGGGGCATTCAATCAGAGTCTGTAAGGGCTGGATTTATAGGTTCTGTTAAAAGAAAAAAGAAAGAAGTCTGGACCTAAATAACCCCATAGCAATAACTTACAGGAGGTGAGTAGAAGCTCTCTGCTCTAGGTGGAGTTTTCATTCATCCTGTCTACATCATGTTTTTATGTAATTGCCTTTGCATTTGTAGCCTTTGGACTTTCTCATCTCTGCTAAGGGTCACAGTAAAAACAAATGAATAATTAATGCTATTCAAAGCAGAAGTCAGCTGCCCAGGCCCCCGCACGTACATCACACCTGTTCTCCCTGGCATAGGGTGGGTGACATGCTTCTTTAGGAAAAACCATGCATGTCAACTACTACTTCTCATGTCCAAGGCTAGGAAGAAATGGTGCTGCCCAGTAGAGATTTTTCTCCTACTTGCCTCCTCCAATGCCTGTTGCCATTTATACTGTTGTTTTTCTGGAAAAGTCCTTATTAGTGTATCACCTTTCCAAGGTGATTTCTGTTCTATAAAGTCATATCTGAACCTTGACATACCTTGAGAACCTTGAGAAAAAATGAATTAGTTTTAAGATATTCATTCTTCTTTAACAATCACATGCTCGGATGGGTCGACACTGAAGAGTAAGCATCCCATCTCCCCTCCAACCTGAAGTTTGGCAGAAACCTGCCTGGCTTCTGTGGTCAACAGAATTGTGTGGCAATCTGGGGATTCTGCAACAACGTGAGCGCACAGAAACCCCTGAACATGCACACATAGTCCACAGACAACCCCAGTAAATTATTCAAATGAATACCAACCAGTGCTGTGATCATTTAATAAAAAACTTGGTTTGAATACTTACATATGTGTTTCCCATTAGTGTGCATTTTCCAGTTCGCTGCAGTGAAAGGTAGCAGACTGAATGCCAGGGTGTGGAAAAGAGTAAACAGTTCTGCTGTTTTGCAGTAGGAACTGGCCAGGGAAAGCTGACACCCTGCGAAACACACCCAGCTCCTGCTTCCCTAAGCTGGAAAAGATGACCTCTGGCCTCTCTTTGTGAAGTCTAGTTTCACTGAAGAGGGGCAAAAAAGAGATTTGTGACCACCAGGAAAAGGTAAAGTAAGTGACGTGTGTGTGTGTATGTGTGTGTGTTTGTATGTGTGTGTAACATATAAAAAATACTCTCTTTCCTCTCCCTTTTCCTCCTATTTCAACCCCCTTTTCTCTCTCCCTTCCTCAGTAAATCATCTAAGTATAATAAGGCTTCTGTTCAGCCTAATGGAGTAAACACTTCTGGGAGAAATTTTCCATTTCTCCATTTTTATTAGGATATATTTCCCCCACAACTTATTGGTCCTTGTCTGAATACCTGACCCCAACTAGCCAATGAGTCTTTTCCCTGTAGTTTTGGACTTGGGAAGGTAGAAAAATCTGCCAACCCTCTCCAGAGGTAGAAACTGTAAGATATAAAAATTGGAAATATCACCCCTGCCACTCCCCCTGTTTTCAGCAGTGTGAACAAAACTAATTTTTAGTGACATAGAATGAAGTCCCTGTAATGAGAGAAGCTCAGGTGAGAGAAAGAGAGAGATAGAGAGAGATCTGACATTATATATGTCTCTGATTCTAGTTTGTTCCCTTGTCAAGTGACATCTCTGTCCTTCCCATAATTTGGTTGTTAAATAATTTCTTTGATTTAATGAACAAAATTAATTCCCTTTTAAAAAAATTGGTTCAAGTGTTAGTGCTGTCACTGAAGCCAAAAGGGCCAACTAATACAGCATCAAAAGTCTTCCAGTTATATGTCTTTTATCTATGTTTAGATTATTCTAAGATGCAACATTTGGACCCATCACCATGGTCTGATTTGCCAACACCTTGCATAGATGATAGCATTCTCCTCAACTGTGAAAGCACCCCATCCTACAAATGCTTCAAAGGGTACCTTCCCCATAGGAGATTATATCAGGGCCTCATTTCATCTCCTCTCCCTTTCTCTAAATGGTCACACATTGCCCAACCTAAGAAAAAGTCTATGTTGGCCTTACCCACTCCAAGCTGAAGAAGAGGAAGCTGACTTAGCTAGAATTCTGGTCCACAAATGTCAGTCTGAGAGAACAAAAAGGCTTCGTGATACCATCTAAAACAGTGACTCAGAGGCAAGGGCGTGGGGAAGCGCTGTCCCCAGGAAAACTATATCAGAATCTCCAAACAGGGGTTGGATGAGGGATGCACGCTTAAGAAACATTCATTTACACACATTGAGTTCTTCCTAATGTTTAAGCTACTCTTTTATCAAAATGAAGACTAATTCTGTATACAATTTATAATTTACTACGAGTCCATTTAGTCCTAAAGACAAAAAATCATAACTGGACATGGCTCTCAATGAGAAATGCATGCCAAAGTCACTCAGAGAGCATGAAGGTGCTTGCCAGGGTCAGCTAAACAGTGATTTTTTGACTAGGTGGCACAATCAACTCTAATATATGTTTAAAACCAATTATTACAAATAATAAAGAACTGAAATGTATAAATTGCTTATTTTATAAAATATAGTGGACTCAAGAAAATCCCTTACATCACTTTTACAAATTTTCACTCTTCCTTGCTTTATTTTTTTGGAGAAGAAGAAAAATGTAAAGGCATTACACCTATTGGGATTTAGAAAGAGTTTTAAATCCGGGATTTAAATAAAAAAAAACATAGTTGGCTCCATGATCCACTAGTTACAAATTAGATGACCTAGGAAAATTTCTTAATCTCATTTTATTCTATTTCACTATCAAAAATGATAGAAGCAGTACCTATGTCATAGGGTTGCTGTGAGGATTAGATGAAATAACTTATCAAATATTTTAGCACAGCACCTGGTAGTTGTTCAGTATATGCAAATTGAATCTCAATCTGATTTCTGCAAGGCAGTCTATGAGAGGCAACAACACAGATTGGAGAGAATGTGTCAGTCAGAGATTTCTGGGTTCAAATCCCTGTTCTATCATTTATAATACTAATTCCATGAACTTGGAAAAGTTTCTTAGCTTCTCTAAATATTAGGCTCTTAACCTGTAAACTATAGACAATGGCATCCACAATGCAAGTCCATTGTGAGGAATAAATGTATTAGGGAGCAAATGTATGATGCATGCCCATTCTGTAGAATGTATTTAATAATAATAACATAATCACTACTATTATTATTATTAATTAGTGAGGAATCAGAAGGAAAACTATAGCTGAAGAGTCTCTAAATGAAAAATAAAAAAAAAAAAGAAAGAAAATAACCCCCCAAAATAAAACAAGATTTTCCAATTTCCTTTACCCCTAAAATCCACCCAAAAAAGAATTCCTTCCTAACATGAGTGAACATGAAGGTGTTTTCTTTCCCTCATCCCCTGAGATGGTAGCAGAAATGGAACTGGTGAGCAGGCCCAACTCAAACAAAGATAGCTACAGGAATAACATTGGGAGAGACACAAGATTTGTTTTGGCAAATAGAAGAGATTTCTGATTGTTTTGGTTTTCTTCTCTTGGAGCCAGTCAGCATCTGGCTTTGAGAACTATGGGTATGGTCACCATATGTCCCACATTTCTCTAGAACAGTCCCAAATTGAAATCTTGAGTCATGTTGCCCCCTTAAGAGCACTTGCATTGTGAGGTTATGGATCCTTACTTGCAGCTCAGAGAATAGGTTCATATGTCACTACAGAAGTCTGTATTTGACAGGGTAAAGGTAGAGACCACAGGAACATGGGAGCAGGTCATGAACTAAAGAAAAATAAACTGGGATTTTTTTTTCCAATCTATATTATCACTCCCCTCATACTTAATGCCAAGTGCTAGTTTGGCACTTTCCTCTAAAGGAAAAAAGTAAGGTAATGGGTTTCCAGGGTAATTGTGACCAATGCAATGTCTTTGAACAGATGCAGGCAATTTTCGGGAGATTTCCATCCCATCCAGTTTGAGAATCCTCTATGGGGAGCAGAGTGGGGGAGGATGTACCAATGACAGCACTAACTAGCATTCCTTAGTTTATTGAGAGCTTGTATGTGCCAGAACATGGCTGAATGTTCTACACACAGTGGCTCATCTAATACTTGCAGCAACCCTATAAGAAGACACCAGTATTCTCTCCTTTTCCTTACATGGAAACAGCCTCAGAGAAATTAAATAACTTGCTGACAGTCACACGGCTGCTGAGTGACAGGGCTGCAATTCAAGCCTGGTTGACCCCAAGATTTCTCAGTAGGTAGACTCATCATACATTTAAATAAAGTGAGTATTTTTGAAACAGGAAGGCTAAGGGTCAGGCCTGAAATTTCTAGGGTGACCATGTAGCTGCGGGAGTATCCGGCAGGCTACTGCTCACAGAAGAACAATTCTCTCTAGGAGCTGTTTTTCAAACTGGAAAAGTCTTGGAACCAGAAATCCATTATGTGAAAGAAAGTAAATGTAGCTGGATGGGATTACTAGAGATGTGCAAACCCAGGGGTGTTTGGGGTTTGGCTACACATTATGTTCTATTTTTCAAAGGTTCTTGGGAGAGGCAAAACTCAAAACATGTTTCTGCACAGTAATTATCCACTTTGGCTTCAAAATTCACGTGTATTTCTAGAGGAACTAACTTCTTCTAGAAGTTAGAGGTCCTGTTTCTTATTTTAGTGGGTGTCCTTCCCATAAATATCCACAGACAGAGCAGCCTATAGGACACTGTGCAAGTAAAAGGACCCAAACTGAGCCTTGTGAGATGAGAAAAACAAAACAGAACATGTTTAAGAATCTCCAACTACTACTATAGCCTGGGCTATGGAGCCAATTAGAGCAAGTCCTTGGATAAGAAAAAAAAAAAAAAGAAATAATGTTTTGAGTGCCCACTAGGCAAACCACTGCTCTTGATGCTGAGAACACCATCCTCATCACCAGGAATCTTCACCAGGAAGGTAATCAAGATCAGGGAACAGATAATTTCACAATAATGTGGTAAAAGGACAGGTTCCAAAGACACACAGAGACAGGGCATGGAAAGCCAGCCTTGAGTGGGGTTCCAGGTATGTATTGCTATTTAACAAAATACTCACAAAATTTAGTGTCTTAAAACAATAGCCATTTATTTATATTTGTTAATTTGTGGGTCAGGAATTTTGGCAGGGATCAGCTAGGCGATTCTTTTTCACATGGTATTGATGAAGGTCACTGGGTCACATTCAGTCTGTAAGATCCAACGTGGCTTCATGAACTTGTCTGTTTCCTTACTGGGGTAACTGAATTAGAATGGTGAAAGCAGTTGCAAGTCTTCCAGGTTCAAGGCGAGGGGGCCTGGATCTGACATCATGATAAGACGAGACTTTTGAAGGAGGAAGAGGTGAATGTATTTTATAAATATGAGAAATGTTTAGAATGTATGGTAACAGAGGTGACTGTGACAGTTTTCAGACATAGCTACCCAATTCTTTAATACTACAAATTCTTTAATAGCTACAAATTCTTTAATACTCCTTCTATTGGGAGGTCACCCATGACTAATCATGATGTGATTAATCTTATACCAGAGTCAAGAGGACTTGTTCATCTGCAAACAATGCAGTCTTCTGGACTATGCTTTGGATATCTGGAAAGCTAAGATTCTCTGCCCAAATGGGCCTGAGATCCCAGGGACTGTACAAACCTGAGAAGTGGCCAGAAGGCAACTGTTTTTGGGAACAGTGGACAGAGGTTGGACCCGACAGCTGGTGTGTCCACATGCCAGTGTACAAGGCCCTCTACAGTGTGAGGGTGAAGAGGAAGTAGACAGAGTGAGAGCTCCTGGTCTCCCAGTACCACAGCATTCTGGCCTGGAATTTTAAGAGTTCAAGAATTCTAAGTTTGAACCAGGCCTTCCAGGCCCTTACGCAGTTGTATCTGTCAAGGCATTCAGTAACAGCATATTTTGAGAACAATTTGACGACCTGATTTATAACCTTACAAATGGTACTTGGCCTCCATTTGTACTATTATCCTGAGAAGTTCAGGAGGACTAAAGACTGAATATACCTAGCCAATGAGTTTATATTATATCCTGATGGCAATCTGGAACTATTAAAAGATTTTAGTCAAACAAGTGAAAATGGCTTACTGATACTTCACAAGTACCTAGAAGGGACCCTGCCATATTATAGACATACAGTAAATATTTTCAAATGAATGAATGAACACTTGAATTTTAGGAAGATCACTCTGCTGTAGTATGGTGAGTATTTTGGAGAAGAGCAGGATTGGAAGTGGGGAGATCAGTTAGAAGGCTCTAGAAGAAATTCAGGTAGGCGAGGTTGGTGGCCCTAACTCAATTATGGATATTAGGATGAAGGGAATTAGAAAGAAAAGAAACACATACATCTCCCATTGTGTTTGTCACACTATGTTATTTTTCTTATGGGTCCATGTCCCCTACCAACTATGGCATCCTTGAAAATGAGCCATAACTTCCCTTTCTCATAATTCTCAGTGCCTAGCACAGGCACAAGGTAGCCACTTAAATAAAATTTTATTGAATTAATTAATTAGTGCATGAAAGTATTATAACATGTAATTCTCACAACAACCTTATGAGATTTCTTTATTTAGTTGAGAAAACTAAGTCTTGGAGAGATTAATGACTTAGAATAAAATCCAGGCATCTTTACATGGTCTACAAAGCCCACATGATCTGGCCTCTATCTATTTCTCCAGCACTACTTATGCAACCTTCACCCTCATTTATGCTACTCCAGGTACACTGGTTTTATTTTCTTTTTTTATTTCAGAATATTATGGGGGTACAAACACTTTGGTTACATATATTGCCTTTGCAAAACATTTTTCTTTATCCAATGGTCAAATGTTTTCCTATATCTACCTCTCTCCCTCTCTCTCTCTCTGTCTGTCTCTCTGTGTGTCTGCATTTATTCCCTCTGATCTTTCCTTCTCCTCTTTGTTTTTATTAGCTGTTTTCACTGTCAGCTAAAATGTCACCTTTCCAGAGAGTTCTTCTCTGGACACTCAACATAAAGTAGATCCTTTAAATAAGAGTCAGAGTGGATCACACTACATCATATCCCCTTATTGACTTTCTTCATAGCTACTACACTATTTGAAATAATCTAGTTTAGAATGTATTCATATATGTATTATTAATCTTTCTTTTCCACAAGAAGGTAAGCTCCTGAGGGCAAGCCTTTGCCCATAGCCCTAGCAACTAAAACACTACCTGACACACAATAGACAATTAGTAAGTATTTAGCAAATGGATGGATGAATGGATGGATGGATGGATGGATGGATGGATGGATGGATGGATGGATGGACAAATGAATGATCTTGACAAACTCATAAGGTGTGGCCTCAGGACTTGAACACAGCTCCATCTGACTGCAGAGTCCTTCCTTTGACCCATGCCTCTCATACAGCCTCATGAAATACCATAACTGTGAGACCACCTCTGTCTTGCTCACCATCATATCCAGCTCTAAATCATGTCTGGCACATGACAAGTGCTTAATACATATTTGAGATGACTTAAATATGAATTAACATGATTATCTTAAGGAACCTGCCTCATTATTTCATAGTCACATGGTAAACAAGGTTGCTATTACCTTAACCAGGACACCAGGAGTACAACAGGGTTTTATGACTATTGACAAAATACACAGGACTATAAGGATTCTACCTGTCCCCAAACTATCAAGCCACATTATAGGGAAACACACTAGAAACTCTTACAACTGTCCAGGCAAGAAACGACTTAGTTCAGACTAAGAGTGTGGCAAAGGGATGGCAAGGAGGAGCTGTGGATTCAAGTGTTAGGAGTAAACATGGGATGAGAAAAGTAGGGTGACTATTAGATTGTATAACAATTAGAGAATTCAAGGAAATATTAATGTAGGAGCGGAGGTACTGCAGCATATTTGTAAATTTATTAAGAGTCAGATGGGAGTTAGAGAAGGAAGATAAAGGAAGTACAGATTTAATGATGGAGCAAAGTCTAAAAATGCTTTGAAGATGTTTAATAATCCCTATGCATGTATAAGTCCAAGTATGGTATTTTAACTCTATCCAAGAGAAATGATTCTTAAAATAAGTTTGTTCATTTCTTGCCTCTCCCAGACTGCAAGGGACACTCAAGCTGACGGGTGATATTATAGAATCTGAAGTTCAAAGACCAAGTCTTCTCTAGGGGTTGCTGTTACCTGTGCTTTTCTCAAGGAGAGAAATTACTTAATTAGAAATAAAGCAGCATTCAAGAGAAAGTATGGCATGGCTCTTTAACATTTTTTTTCCATTTTAATAAGCTCTTAGCAACATTAAAATTTCTTGGCTATCTTAATCATACTAGGAACATTAATCACCACACAACCCCTTCTGCCCTTGACTCCCTGCCTGCCTTTCTCTAGACCTTCTCACAAGCCTACATGCCTAGATTGTGAGCATGACGCAAATACACCACTGCATGTCTCCAATCAAGAGATCAATTCATGCCCATTGCTGCCCATGATTGTGAGGTTCTGTGTCTGGACTTGGGTGAAGGGGTGAGGGTTGGGGGAATAGGCCTAAAGAAGCCTTGCTCAGGAGCTGTGTGGTCTTGGGCTAGTCATTTAACCTCTCTGCACTTAGATTTCCTCCTTGTAAAATGCTGCTCATTGGGTTGGTATGATTTCTAAGTTGCCCCCAAATTGAGGAGATTGTATATAGAAGCATACAAAGCACGTTTCTTTCTATAAGAATTTTTCAATGTTTTGGGATATAGGGATAATGCTGTAAAGTTCCAGACATACAATTAAGAACAGAAAAAAGCAAGATGCAACTAAAGAAAATCATAAAAGGATACAGATGCATATGTTTGGGGTTCAAGGAAAGAAAACATATAAGGAAGGTAGGGCATATGAATTTTGGCCTAATATCATTATCAAAACCTTTGCCAGTGTGTTATAACACAGATTTTCCTGGTTTCCTTTATCCAAGAAAATTATATATATTATGCAAACAGGCTCTATCTTGATTGTAACTTCTTCATAACTCCTCTACTCTTGCCTCATGACCAACTGACTTTCCCACTAGAATTTGGTGTCAACACCAAATTAATAAGGACACCTTTACCAAGCAGCTTCCTGCCCAAACCTGGATTATTGGCCCTTCTATGTGCTATGATGTCTTCTACTTCTCTATCACAGTCCTTTTAATATTGCATTGTAATTGCCCATTTATTCTTTGGGATTCCCACTAACTTTAAGTTCTTCAAAGGCAGAAATTGTGCCATTTTGTCCTTAGCATGTGGCTTGGTGCATGGCACAAGCTGGTGATTTTACACACACACACACACACACACACACACACACACACTCACATCCTTCAGAATCCATGGGGGATTGGTTCAGTACCCCCTTCAGAAACCAAAATTCAAGTCCCTGATATAAAATGGCGTAGTATTGGCATACAACCCACATACATCCTCCTATAGGCTTCAAATCATCTCTAGAGTACTTATAAATACCTAATACAATGTAAATGCTATGTAAATATTAATAGTTGTTATACTGTACTGCTTGGGGAATAATGAAAAACATCTGTACATGTTCAGTACAGGTACAAGTTTTTATAATATTTTTGATCCATGGTTGGTTGAATTCACAAAGCGGAATCCATGCTTACAGAGGGCTGGCTGTGTATGTGTGCATGTGTGTATATGCGTGCGTATACACAAACATATGCAGTCATGTGCTGCATAACAGTTTGGTCAACAACTGACCAAATATATCATGGTGGCCGTATAAGATTACAATGGAGCTAAAAAATTCCTAGTGCCTTGTGTTGCCATAGCCGTTGTAATGTCGCAGCACAACGTATCACTCACATTGTGGTGATGCCGGTGCAGACAAACCTACTGCACTGTCAGTCGTATAAAAGTGTAGCACACACAATTATGCACAGTACATACTACTTGATAAGGATATAAATGACTATGTTACTGGTCTTTGTTATTTACTATACTATACTTTTAATTTTTATTTTGGAGTATACTCCTTCTACTTACATTAAAAATATAAGTTAACTGTAAAACAGCCTCAGGCAGGTCCTTTAGGAAGGATTCCAGAAGAAGGCAGTGTTATCAAAGGAGATGACAGCTCTATGTATGTTACTGCCCCTGAAGACCTTCCAGTGGGACAAGATGTGGAGGAGGAAGACAGTGATATTGATGATCCTGACCCTGTGTAGGCCTAGGCTAATGTGTGTGTTTGTATCTTAGCTTTTAACAAAAAAGTTTAAAAAAACAAAAAACAAAAAACCCCCACAAAATTTAAATAGAAATAAAGTTTATAGAATAAGGTTATAAAGAAAGAAAATATTTTCGCACAGCTGTACAATGTGTTTTAAGCTAAGTGCTATTACAAGAGTCAAAAAGCTTTTAAAAATTTAAAAGTTTATAAAGTACAAGGTTACAGTAAGCCAAGGTTAATTTATTATTGAAGAAAGAAAAATATATTCTTATAAATTTAGTGTAGTCCAAGTGTTTATAAAGTCTATAGGAGTGTACAGTAGTGTCCTAGGCCTTCACATTTACTCACTACTGACTCACCGACTCACCCAGAGCAACTTCCAGTCCTGCAAGCTCCATGCATGCTAAGTGCCCCACACAGGTATACTATTTTTTTTATTTTTATACCTTATTTTTACTGTACCTTTTCCATATTTAGATATGATCGGATACACAAGTACTTGCCATTGTGCTACAATTGCCTACAGTATTCAGTATTAACACGTTGTACACGTTCATAGCCTAGGAGCAATGGGCTATACCATATAGCCTAGGTGTGTAGCAGGTTATATCATCTAGGTTGGTGTAGGTACATTCTATGACGTTCACACGACAGCAAAATCTCCTAACAATAATGCATTCCTCAGAACATATCCTTGTTGTTAAGCAACATGTGACTATATATATATGTATATATATATATAAATGAATCCAACAGAAATAAAAGTATAAATCAGCATTGTATTGGATGGACTGTTCCTCCAAGCACAGAGCAGGGTGGGCAG